GCTGTGGCATCAATGTTGTGGCATCGTAGCTCACAGCAACCTCCAATTCTTGGGCTCAAGCAAGCCTCTTGCCTCAGTTTTTCTATTTTTAGTAGAGATGGGGTCTTGCTTTTGCTCAGACTGGTCTTGAACTCATGAGCTCAAGCAGTGTACCTACCTCAGACTCCCAGAGCACTAGGATTACAGGCATGAAACACTGCTCCCAATCTCAGTGGACACATTTTTTAGAAATGTGAAATAAATGCACTGACCAGATCATATGACTATACAAAAAAATAATACTGGGGGCCAGGCACAGTGGCTCATGCCTGTAATCCTAGTGCTCTGAGGCCGAAGCAGGTGGACTGCCCTGAGCTCACAAGTTCAAGACAGCCTGAGCAAGAGTGAGACCCTGTCTATTAAAAAAAAAAAATAGCCGGGCGATGTGGAAGGCACCTGTAGTCCCAGCTACTTGGGAGGCTAAGGCAAAAGGATCGCTTGAGCCCAAGAATTGGAGGTTGCTCTGAGCAATATCGAGACACCTGTCTCTACTAAAACTAGAAAAACCAAGAAAAAAAGATCTCTTGAGGCCAAGATTTGGAGGCTGCTACAAGGTATGATGACGCCATGGCACTCTACCAAGGGTGACAAAGTGAGACTCTGTCTCCAAAAAAAAAAAATACTGGGCAATTTGAGAGTAAATTTGAAATTTACTCTCCACCAGATCTATATTTAATGATGACAGTTTTGGATGATGAGAAATGAAAAAACTAACTTAACAGCAGTGAAGGGGGAAGTCTCTGATTTATCAAAAATCATAATTTATTTATTCACATTAACAGAATACAGATATTCCATAATATTGAAAACCATTACTTTTTCTATTTCAATTAGGAAAACTGATGATGAAAAAAGCCACAGACTTGAAGAACATGATGTTATACTTCTAGTGATAGTATGATTCCATAATATATTAAACATAAGATTGGGCCGGTATGGTAGTTCATACCTGTAATCCAGACACTTTTTTTGTTTGTTTTGCTTTTGAGACAGAGTCCCAAGTTGTCGCCCTGGGTAGAGTGCCATGGCATCATCATACCTCATAACAATCTCCAACTCTTAAGCTCAAGAGATTCTCTTTCTTCAATTTTTCTATTTTTAGTAGAGACAGGGTCTCAATCTTGCTCAGGCTGGTCTTGAACTCAGGAGCTCAGGCAATCCACACACCTGGGCCTCCCAGAGTGCTAGGATTACAAGTGTAAACCAACACACCTGGTCTAATCCAAATACTTTGTAAAGCCAAAGTAGGAAGATGACTTAAGGAGCCTGAGCAAAATTATTAAGACCAATGACTCTACAAAAAAAATTTTTTTTGAAACAGAATCTCACTATGTCACCCTCAGTAGAGTGCCATGGCATCACAGCTCATAGCAATCTCTAAACTCTTGGGCTTAAGTGATTCTCTTACCTCAGCCTCCCAAATAGTTGGGACTACAGGTGCCTACCACAATGCCTAGCTACTTTTTGTTGTAGATGTCATTGTTGTTTAGCAGACCCAGGCCAGGTTCGAACCTACCAGCACCGAGCCTCTACAAAAATTTTTTTGAAAATTAGCTAGGTATGGGCCAGGCACAATGGCTCATGCCTGTGACTGCAGCCTTCTGAGAAGCCAAGGCAGGAGGATCCCTTGAAGTCAAGAGTTTGAGGCCCAACTGAGCAAGAGCAAGACCCCATCTCTACTAAAAATAGAAAAATTAGCCAGGCATTGTAGCAGGTGACTATAGTACCAGCTATTCGAAAGGCTGAGATAAGAGAATCACTTGAACCCAGGAGTTTGAACTTGCTATAAGCTGGGCTAATGCCATGACACTCTAGCCTGGGAAAACAGTGATGAGACTCTGTCTCAAAGAAAAAAAGGTAGCCAAGCGTAGTGGCACATGTTTTTAGATTTTCAGACCCAGCTATCTGGGAGGGTTGGGTGGGAGATCAACTGAGCCTAGGCACTTGATCTTGCAGTGAACTACATTCATGCCACTGCATTCCAGACTGGGTGACAAAGTGAAACCTTACTTCTGTTTTTAAAAAAATAAGAAAAAAACAAAACTTATTCATGCTCACTAACTGTTTCTCAGCAACTCATCATAATCAAGCAGGCACTATAATATGGTAGATACATCATTAATAGATAATAGGTGTTCACTAAGCAAATAAAGCTTGTTTAAACATAATGTTTAAATAAATCAATAAAGTAGACAAAATAAAATTAAACTTCTACTTTGTAACATTAGCTTAAGGTGGGGCACAATACGTCACACCTATAATCCTAGAACTTTTGGGAGGCTGAGGCAGGTGGATTGCCTGAGCTCACAGGTTCAAGACCAACCTGAGTAAATCTAAGACCCCATCTATAAAAAGTGGCTGGGTATTGGAGCAGGTGTCTATAGTCCCAACTACTTGAGAGGATGAGGCAAGAGGATCACTTGAGCCCAAGAGTTTGAGGTTGCTCTGAGCTATGACACCCTAGCACTCTACCGAGGGTAACAAAATAAGACTGTCCCACAAAAAAAAAAAAAAAGGTATCTTAGCTCAATTGACGAAAGATTGAGTTCTAATAAAAACAATAATGAAGGCTCGGCGCCTGTGGCTCAAGCGGCTAAGGCGCCAGCCACATACACCTAAGGTGGCGGGTTCGAATCCCCAGCCCGGGCCCACCAAACAACAATGATGGCTACAACCAAAAAACGGCCAGGCGTTGTGGCGGGAGCCTGTAGTCCCAGCTACTTGGGAGGCTGAGGCAGGAGACTCGCTTAAGCCCAGGAGTTGGAGGTTGCTGTGAGCGTGATGCCATGGCACTCTACCCAGGGGGATAGCTTGAGGCTCTGTCTCAAAAAAATAAAAAAATAAAAAAATAATGAAAAATAGGTCGGGTGCCATGGCTCACTCCTGTAATCCTAGTACTCTGGAAAGCAGAGGTAGGTGGATTGCCAGGTTCAAGACCAGCCTGAGCCTAAAAACAGCCAGACATTGTGGCCGGTGCCTGTTGTCCCAGCTACTTGGGAGGTTGAGACAAGAAAATCACTTGAGCCCAAGAGTTTTATGTTGCTGTGAGCTATGATGCCAAGGGTGACAAGGTCAGACTGTCTCAAAAAATAAAATAATAAAAATGAAAAAATAGTAATTTATTTTCTATTTTATTGACAAAAACTTTCTAAAATAATATTACTTATTATGTTACTTAAAACTCTTGCAAGGAGGAGCATACCTGAAAAAAGAAGGGGCCAGGCTCGGTACCCAGAGCTCAGCATTTAGGGCGCCTGACACATGCACCAGGGCTGGTGGGTTTGAACCTGACCTGGCCTGCTAAACAACAACAATAACAACAACAACAACAAAAAATAGTTGGGTATTGTGGCAGGCGCCTATAGTCTCAGCTACTTGGGAGGCTGAGGCAAGAAAATCACTTAAGCCCAAGAGTTTGGGGTTGCTGTGAGCTGTGATACCATAGCACTCTACCAAGGGTGACACAGTGAGACTCTGTCTTAAAAAAAAAAAAAAAATGAGGGGGTAAACAGGCAGAAAAAAAATTCAAAAATAACTATGACACTTTTTAAATTTTTCATTATAAGACACTAAAACAATTTCGTATTTTTTTAGGACAGGCACAGTGGTTCATGCCTGTAATCCTAGCACTCTGGGAGGCCAAGGCAAGTAGATTGCCTGAGCTCATGAGTTTGATACCAGCCTGAGCAAGAGCAAGACCTTGTTTCTAAAAATAGCTGGGCACTGTGGTGGGGGCCTATAGTCCCAGCCACTTGGGAGGCTGAGGCAAAAGAACCACTTGAGCCTAAGAGTTTTAGGTTGCTGGGAGCTATGATGCCATGGCACTTTACTGACAGCAACAAAATGAGACTTTGTCTCAAAAAAAATAATACAAATAAATAAAAAATCAAAAAATATACATATTTTTTAGAGACCACGGTCTTGCTCTGTCACTCAGACTGGAGTATAATGGCATGATCATCACTCAGTATAACTTCAAAGTCCTGGGTTCAAGAGATCTTCCTGCCTCAGCCTCCTGA